GGGTTCTTGGAACTACACACTTGTAGTTCAAAATGGCTGCAGCATGAATTTCATTTAAAGGGCAATGCTGGTAGATGGGATTCCAAGACCCTCAGTGGTTGCCTGCAACTGCAGATGGTACCGAATCCTAGATATACTATGTTTTCCCTTATATATACTACCTATGATAAAGTTTAATTTGTAAATTAGATGCAGTAAGAGATTAACAATAATAACTAATAATAAAACAGAGCACATAACAATATACTGTAATAAAAGTTATGTGAATGTGATCTCTCTCTCGGTTACTAAGTCACTAACAGGCATGTAGTGTTTACAGCATGGATCCACTGGACCAAGGGATGATTCATATCCCAAGTGGGATGGCGCAGGATTTCATCACACTCTCAGAATGGCGAACAATTTAAAACTTATGGATTACTTATTTCAAGAATTTTTCATTTAATATTTTTGAATCATTGTTGACTGAAACCAAGCAAAGTGAAATCATGGGAAGGAGGACTACTGTAATGTTCTCATCATAGCATAACTTGCTTCTGGTTCAAGGAAGTGCCATATAACAAACTTTTGAGGAAGACTTATACTATGGACATTATTGGTTGTGTAGAAAGTGTAATAGAACAGATTAAAACCCCATTCCCAAATAAGGAGCATGCCTGGGATGTTGTTCTGCAGATTGCATATTTTCCCTGTAAAAACCTTTGGTTTATATTCATTCATGTTAAAACTATGATTATAGATCATTTCCAAATATGTCATTTACACATATGCCTTCAAATACTGCTCTGACCTCTTCTTCCTTCTCCCAGCAATGAATTATTTATAATTCTTTTCATAAAGAGATAATCAGCTAAAGAGCTTTCTTAAAGGTGGCAAAACTAAAAAGCAAATTAGTTTTATGATTTCAAAGAATTAGCTGACTATCCACTTATTATAATGTTTTCAGACTACTTTAGAACTCTCAAAGGAAGAATAATGGTCCAGTGCAGTGCTGTGAGGTTTCCTTTATGGACATAGTAAGCCATTTAATCTTGACAGGCTCAATTGTTTTTGATTTCCTGCCATGGATATCCATCACAGAAATAGCAGTTGTGATTAATAGCATTTTGATCACTAACCAAAAGCATTTGTTATAATGTATACCTGGAAAATATTCCAAAATGGAGAATAATATTCAAGTGTAAAAAACTGTAACAACTGAAAAATCAATATCCATTGAGGAGAGAGGGTTATAAAGGTACTTTCAGGAGAGAAATTAAATTCTAGATTTTCATTAATTTTAAGGAGAAAGTGGAAGAATAAACCTTAAAGAGAATTTATGGGTAATATTTTTTCCCAATTTGAGATGAAAATTATACCTGGAATTTACTTATTAATGCATGTGTTCAAAACATGTAGAAGATTCTCTTAAATAGATCATTGTAAATGTTTTGTTAGTTAAAAAGATACCCTATCCTCATCTATTTTCTAACATCAAGCTAAAAATTCTAGAATGGTGGTGGCAGCAATGCAGAGGCAACATTATCAACTTAGAAAAAAAGTGGTATCCAAAACCAGATTCTGTTTCAATAATTACAAGAAGTCGCGTTTCCTCCCATTATATCCATAACCCATGAGATAAAGCAGAACTAGGGAGAGAGGTGATATGCTAACAGATTAGATTTTGGGCGTATTCTTGTAAAGATTATCAGCCTTGAAAAATTTGCCAGATGAGTCTATGCAGAAAAAGCTAAACAAAATTGAAATATCAATATATAGGGCCTTCATTTACTCTTTTATTCATTTAATTATGCATTTATTTATTCAATAAACAAAGATTTACTGAGTTTCAATAACCAAAAAGGCACTAGGTTAACCAATAAGACATGACCCCTGCCTTTATAGAACGCATTCGTTGAGGGTAAACTGTGGCCAGGCGCTTCACATACCTTATATCAACTCTATGAGGTGGATATTTTTAAAAAATCATTTTCTCTTTTATATATGAGGAAGCTGAGCATCCCAGGAGTTAAACTGGTTGCTCAAGGTCACACAAATAGTAAGTGGCAGAGTTAGGCTTCCAAACCCATCTTGTTGTCTCCAAAATCTACTACACTGTGGTGCCTGTAATCTAGGAGGAAAGAGATAAACATACACAATGACCTGCAATACACCTCAGAGACTGTACAAATACTATGAGAAAGGATATGTGGCTTGCTGTGGGAGCACAGAGAAGAAATCTATTTATTCTGCTAGTCTCTAGGTAACCCCTGAGAAGGCTTCATGGAAGCTGGCATTTGAGTTAGGCCTTGCAGGTAGATGGGGAAGAACATTTCAGGCGGATACATGAAAGTGCACTGCAGAATGAAGAACCAGCTTATAGTTCCAGAACTGGGAACAGTGTTTCTCACGTTTGTATTCATACCATAGTTTTGAATTTTAGAATATTTGGCAGCATACCTGAACAATGCCATAGTCAGCAATCATTATGATACAACAAATCTATTATGGGATTAATTTCATGGACTTTGGAGTTAGGATTGCAGGCTTTGAATCTGCTCTGCCACTTACCAGTTGTGGGGACTTTGGAAAATCATTTTAGGCCTTGTTTGGCCAAATAGTGATAATCATAATGGGCTATTTTAAGGAGTGTATGAGTTAATGTATGTCAATTACTTAGTTTAGTGTATAGTACCTAATATACATTCAATAATTGGTTATGAATACTACATTATATTATCTCAGGATATCTATTAGAGCATTCAGTTATTTCAGGATTCTCTTGGTTGCCTTTTTGTATTTTGGCATTGTTCAAATTGAACTGTACTAGATAGTACTGACTAAGTTTCCCCATATACTAAGAAGGCAGTTGCAGTAACTTCTCTTTCTTTCCCACTGCCTTACTGTTTTGTTAGGCCTCTTGTCTTCTACTCTCAACAAATGGAATCATCTTCTATATTGCAATGCAGAACCACTAGGCTTAATGTGAATTTGGCAGATACTATGCATGTTTAGGTATAACAAAAATATACTTTTCCTATTCGCCACTTTGCGAGCATATATGTGAAGGGGTAAACAGTGTTCCTTGGCCTATGTGGTTGAGATCCAACTATACAGAGTTGGGGTGAGAGCATAGGAGAAAGTGGGGAGAGTGGTAGGAGAAGACAGGTTAGGGTTGGATTGGAAAGGAATTTGAACATGCTAAGGAGTTTGGCCTTGAGCTTGTGAAGGAAATGGGCAGCCACGGGGAAAAAAAAAGCAGGAGGGCTAGTACAATCATATTTGGATTTTAGGAAGACAACTAATACATTGTGAGGGATTGCTTTGCATATTCTTTGTCTAATAAACTATAAATCCTCTAAAACCCAGCACCTTTGGGAAGCTTTCTTGATTTGTTGCACCTGATTTTGATGTCCCTCAATGTGTTCTCATAGTATTATGTGCATACATCTATCATATTATAATACATAATAATTATTGACTTAATTGGCTGTCTCCTCCACTGGATTGTAAACTCCTTGAGATCAGGGACCACATCTTATCTTTGGATCCCCAGCAGCTAGTATAGCACTTGCAGGTTCTCGATAAATATCTGTGGAATTTAGTAATTAATATGAATTTATAGAAGGAGCCAAGACAAGGAAACCAGTTCTGAGATTATTAGCCTAAGAGTCTATCAGCATAACCTCCACTGGTAATTCACATCATATTGTTTTATTGTTTGACAAAAGCTGATAGAAATGTATTATAATAGTTTGTCTTTAACCTTTTATTTCGAATCCTTTCTTAAAATGAAATAAAATGAAAATTAAATTCCAAAAGCACTGAAGTTGACTTTTAATGATTTTTAATTCACTGAAAATTAAGCTTTTCCCTTCCCTATAGTCTGGATATAAATATACAGTACATAATATTCTAAAGAGAGAATAAAATGCTGACTATTTCTAATTAGCTAATTTGTTTGAGGGAATCACCAGTAGTCCACAAAGTGAATTAATGTGATCAACAAACTCAAATGCATTGTTTTGTAATTTATGTAGAATTCCCGATAAGTCTTTCAGAGTTTGCCAATATGTCCAATGATTAAAGATATTCAGCCAAAATGAATCCTCTATCTTTGCTTTTACAGTATAGGAAAAGTTACAGGAGTGTACTTTATCCATTAATCAAACAAAATATTTCTATAAATCACTGTATTAATTGCTGAGTTAAAGGCCATGCCTGTATCATGAAAAGCAAACAAAGGATATTGCCAAAAAGACTAGTGTGCTCAGCTGATTTGACTACACCAATGTGTTTAATTCCAGCCTTTAGTCAAAACAGGTCTAGATGACAGACTCATTCCTCTGATCATTTAATTTTGACCTATTAAGACAATCAATTCTATTTGATTTTTCCTGTTCTTATGTTTTTTTTTTTAAGACCGTGTCTCACTCTGCTGCCCAGGCTGAAGTGCAGTGGTGAGATCATAGCTCACGGCAGCCTTGAATTTCTGGACTCAAAGGATCCTTCTGCCTCAGCCTCGCAAGTAGCTTGGACTACAGGTATGCACCAGCAGGCCTGGCAAATTAAAAAAAAATTTTGTTTGTAGAGATAGAGGTCTTACTATGTAGCCCAGGCTGGTCTTGAATTCCTGGCCTCAAGGGATCCTCCTGCCTAGGTCTCCCAAAGCACTGGGATTGTAGGTGTGTGCTGCTGCACCTGGCCTCTTATGCTATTTCTGTTCTCAGAACACTGTATATGGTTGGGGACCTTACTGGATGGAAAGTGTGTGACTCTACCTCTTTCTGTTTCTCTCTGGTTCTGTTGTTCCTATACATTCTTGGGCTTTTGCTGAGATTGATAATAGCCAATGTTGAATAGAATTTAATTTTCAATTGAAATTCTAATAAAGGTTTTCCTTAATTTGCTCAAGCTGATGCACTAGAAGTAGCAGATGTTTAAATATGCATGTGTTTAAAAAGTCAAGATTATTTAGACATTTAATGACAATCAGATGACCTTCTGAAATATTGGCCTACCTTTTGGAGATACTTTACTTTCTCCTCAGATTCCTGTATCTTCAGGGCTTCGGCAAAGATGTTTCTATTTTCTAGAGGGAATAAAGTCAAATTCAATCTGAAATAATTTTATCATGATTTTATACTAAAATTGATATAAAATTGGATACAGGTTGAAAGGGAATACATGGAGTAGGAAGGTAAACAAAAGTACATGTGGTGTATTGAAACTTTATAAGCCAGATTTCCAAATATTTAGAGACTGAATGAATTAGCTATGGCTGCAGGGAACCTCTGATCTCTTTAGATGATGAGTAAGCTCTAGTCCAGAGACAAGAAAAGGTCTCAAAAGAGAAAATATCTGCAGGATCAGAGATTCCAATTTCTACATTCCTGTTCAAACTGTTAAAGAAATTTAGGCATTGTCCTCTGGATAAACAGGGTGGTCCCTCAGCAGGGACTTAGGTGTGCAATTCAGAAAGTTATACCACAGTGTAAAGTAGTACCCTTGTACTTACTGCCTATTTTCTGATGAACCTAGGAGTCAGAATGCTGAAAGGCGTAAAACTTGGTACTTACTGTTGTTACTCACAAGGTGAGAAGACTGCGAGGAGTGACTGTTCTCTAAAAAATACAAAAGGGAAGTAAAGAAATCATTGGAAAAGACCACAACATTAAAGGCGTTTGAATATTTTATACCATAACGATTGCATAACAGTTCCACATTCTAGGCCTCACTAGGGGCTTCCAGGTCCAGGAAGTTCATTAGTAATGTTGACTCCACCTTCATCTTTCTCCAGGGCTTTTCATGTTTGAATTCAACTGTGTATTTGAATTCAACTGTGTAAACTATCCTTTCAGCCAACAAATAGCATTTCCTCAGATTATTCTATATTGTTTACCAAATAGATGCTATAATTTAAGGGAAACTTATGTGTGTTTAGATGTAACAAATATACTACTGATCCTTTTCGGGTGGAAGGGTTGTTGGAAGGGTTCAGGAACTATACATGTATTTGTGTGTACCTGTAACTATTTGTATATACCACTGCAATTTCTCCTGGAAGGGGCTCTGGTATCTGCAGGCCGGTTACGGTGGAGGCAGATGTGACTGACAGGAGGCCACTACTCTACTCACCAGACCCTCTGCTCCTCCGGCGCCGCGCCACCGGCAGACGCTGACTGCTGTCTCTGCGCAGCAGCAGCTGAGATTCGCTAGGGGGATACATCGACGCCGAGATCCAGAACTGCTTAGCCAAGTTGGTATCTTGCTCTGAGGAGCCGGCAAATACCAGTAATCCCGGGGGGCAAATTTCCTGGGACTCCTTTCGGCCGCTAGGTTCTTCGCTGGGTCCCGTTTCCATGGCAACTGAGGACGCTCCTCCAAGCGTCCTCGCCCCTCCCCCAGCCCCGCCCCCATCCCGCCCCTCCGAGAACCGCCAAGTTGGTACCAGCCCCTGCCGGCAGCCTTCGGTTTCCTAGGTAGGTGTTGGGATCCACCACGCGCGTGGGGGCCGTCAGAAGCCCATTCCTGTGGTGATCAGGTTTTGGGACCAGTCCAAACCTTGGAGTAGATAGGGAAGAGTCAAAACATACACTTTGGGTTGTGTCCTGTTGGAGTCAGTGGGGGAGTACTTTAGCTTCTTATATCCTCAGTGGGCCTGCCACATCCTCTCCCCTCCCCCGCCAAAAATAGCTAAATAAACTTTAAATTCCTCAGCCCCATCGCCCCAATCCCCTCTTCCAAACCAGATCGCCAGGGACAGCACCTGCTACGTGGAAGTTCTGAGAACGTTGCGTTGGAGAATTCATGGCTGAAAGCCTAGCCCTTGGGAGCTAGAGACCTGAACTGGGCAGATATATGCCCATGTGTATAGTTTCTGTGATTTTAAAATTCTGAATCCTTTAAATCTTAGGAAACAATCTGGATTTTAAGTGTAACTGCATTTACTAATCACTCCCACTAAAAGTTGCATAGACTGCAACAGTTGTAAATGACTTAAAAGAAGGGATATATCTTAATGAATGGACAGAGCCCCTTCACAGAAAAAAAAGTATGAAAAATTTTGTTAATGTATTCTTATAAAAGTATTAACAAGTGTGTGTGTGTGAATAGCTTTCCCGGGAGATTTTTGTCATGGCAGGAACAACTTAACCACTTCATTGATAGAAAAGATTACTGTGGCAGGAACTGAGATGGACATCATAAAGCCAATTTAGCAAAGGAAACGGACACATGACAATAACCACAATTTATGTCTTTATGGCACTTTATTGTTCCAAAATATTAGTAACAATATAGTCTCAAGAAGTTAATAATCACATGTTCATATAATAACATACATCAATCAGCTAAGAAAAAAATCATATTCCCCATTATATCTAAAATTTTCGTTAAGAGCCTGAAGGAATATTGAAAAAAAACCCCCACATACATACACATTACATACACTGTATTCTTAGTAGCTAAAATGTTGATTTTTAAGTTTCGGCTGAGCAATTAATAGGCAATGGATGAAATCAGCATTTTCCAACACCCCTCTTCCCCACACACATTGATGATGCACAGGCAGCTCATTTGGGTGAATTCCCAAATCTTTTTACCTGGCCGTGTGGTTAGTGATTGGTACTATCAGCAATCAGCTAACTACACTGCCTGGTAACTAGACTCATAGAAAAAAATTGCAGTCTCAAGTTGGTACCCCCACACGTTGTGACAGGCAATTCATTGGTTGAGTCGAAGATCAACTGAATTGCTGGCTTGGTGAATATTTTACTAGACAATGGCAAACAGACACAGTGAATCATATACAGTATTAACCGTTACATGGGTGGAGGGGCTTCACCTCCAGGGATTTCGCTTTCCTGGTATGAGACTGTTTCATCTTCTGTGACTCCTAGAGAGAGAGCTAACAGTTTAACTGTATCTGGAGAAACCGCGGGTTTTCTCGCACTTGCAGCGGGCGCTCGCGAAGCATGCCAGCGCGGGACCCACGCCGACGCCGCGCTTCTCAGGCACCTTCTCCTCTCGAAGGCTGCGTGCAGCCAGAGCCGGCGTCCTCTTCCCGGCCGGGCGGCGGATGATGCTGTGCCTTGTTTTGATGGCAGTGGAGTTAGTGATTGTAACCACCACAGTACAATCAGCTAATGACACTGCCTACAAACCGAGCACTGGGCGTCCGCGGCTGCAGCTCCCGGACGGTCCGCAGCGCCGACGCGGGGTCGCGGGGTCGGGGCCCGCCTAGGACCCCATTTCACCAGGGGACGCCCGACCATGGGTGGGCGCGAGCGGCCTCCGAGGACACCCCGGGCCCAGCGGGATCCCCGCCGGCCTCGCCGCGCACAGCACGAGTAGTTGGGCCAGCGGGCGGCGCTGCAGGGGAGGACCCGCGCCCTCCCGGGCCGCGCCCCGACCCCGGTGACCCTCGGGAGTGCCGGGCCTCCCCTTTCCGCAGCCTCTCGCTCCTCTCAGGACCCTCCCGCTCAGGTTCGCCTCGCTTTTCCTTTCCCCTTCGCCTCCTCGGCCCGGGCTCCCACTTCCCTCACGCCAGGCTTCAGTTCCCAGCCCCAAACCCTAGAGCTGGCTCTCTCGACCCCGTGCGCCCCGCAGCTCTGAGCGGCCGAGCGACTGTGGCGGGGGCGACCAACCGTCCTTGGAACCCAGCGGGCCGAGGGGCGGGGCGGGCGCGAGACCGGGCGGGGGCGGGGGTGGTGGGACAGGTGGGGGAGGGGTGGGGGAAGGGAGGAGGCTGAGAGAAGGGGCTGTGGGCGGTCCCTGAAGGGCCTCCAGGGAGACGCCTAGAAGATGGAGGCCCAGATTCTTGAGACATTTCTCTTTCTGATCTAGCAGGAGGGACAAAGAGCTCCACTCCCTCATTCCCCAAGAAGCCCCCAAGCCTACCCAGTTTCCGTGCCCATTCTGCCCTGGGAAAGCGGCTTCCCAGGTACCTCAAATTATAGGTTTGAATTTTCCAAATGGAGGTGGGCTTGGGTAGCCTCTGACATGTGGGAGGATGCCTTTGAGAGTCTCATCTGCACCTTTGTGCTCTGTTGGAGACTTGGCCTTATAGTCTTAGAGGGCCATGCGGTGATGCGAAGGCTGAGCCTTCTAGTCAAATAGTGAGCCAGGCAGCTTGTTAGTTACATCAAATCGTGGTCCTCTTGAGATCAAGGCCATACCATTCAAGACTATATATATATAATAAATTACTAAACTAGGTACTGATAGAAATAGAAGGGAGGCCGTTAATGAGAGCTGTAATAGGTCAAAGAAGGTTCCCAGAGGAGATGAGACTTGAGTAGATCCTTGATGCAAGAGTACATTTGGATATTCAGGTTTAGGGCTGTGGATGCCAGAAAATATCTTGTTACAGTTGGGCAAAAGGGACAGTTACAGAGGACTTCTGGGAGATCTCTGCTAATAACTTTCCTTTAGTTACTCCTTCCCCTCTTTGCCTTTAATGAATGAATCAGGAGAGGATAAGGAATGTTCTCTTTATCCTCACCTTGTGAAATTCAGCTGGAAGCAGCTTCCCCTAGAAATATGGTCTTCATGCATCCAGTATAGAGCACTCATTGCTGACACAAAAGACTTAGTTCTAAATTAGTTTCTGTAAAAGAAAACTTCCCATCTATAGATTGATTCCCTAAAACCAGCAAATGGTCTCATAGATGCCACTAGTAACATGAACAGGGGCAGGTCATCTAGATCATTCAATACAAACACCAAAATTACACTATTAAAACAACTAAAGAACTGCCCAAGGATGTTTGAGTAAGTTATAGCATTTTCTTTGCGTATGAAAGACAGCACTTTTTTTCCCCCCAAATGCATACTTTGTTCCGTACACCCTGAAGTGAAGGGAAAGAAACCAAAATATAAAATATATATCACATAAAATGTTAATTGTAAAAATTAACTTGTAGAATTAAATTGTGAAAGACAAGGCATCTACAATAACTGTATTTTGTATTCATCTTATCTTTGGGAGGGGCACAGTGTTTTAGCACACATTACATAAATGACTTACATTCACTTAAATATACATACATGAAACTAGGAGCAAAATAGTCTTCATTCCATTAACAATATGCAGACTTAGAGAAATCTTGGTTAGGAGATAGTTATAAAAACGATTATCTTCTACCAAACTGTTAGTCACTTTTACCCAATACTATATTGAACACTTCTTCCCAACTGATGTTTTACGATTATTAGTTGCATCTTAAATATCTTACCTGAGCTGGATTGCTGCCATCCAAGGCAATGGTTGTGTTAGATGCCTTGAAAAGTAGGTTTCTACAGACTTTTCTCCAAAAGTAATAAAAAATAAAATTCATATGTAAAAGTCATCAAGATGCATTGCCTACTGAAATAACTTTTTAAAATGAGTTTATTTTCTATGTAGTACAACTAAAAATTTAAATAACGACAAAAAATGTGTGTGGCCTAGTTCTGTTGAAAAAAAAAAAAAGAATGCTTGTTCTTAGGGTTGCTGTTGATTTGGCCTGCAGTTACTAGAGAAACTCCAAAGATCTCATTCCCTCTATGGTTCATGTCTAGGCATGCCTGGAGACCAGGGAGACCCATGATTTAATCTAAGTAAGAATGCTTGTGGTGTTTTAAATGCCCACACAGAAGATTGCATTTGTTTTAGACTGTACCAGGAAGGCACCTTTCAGGGGAATTGTTTACTGTTTTAATTTCTGGGCTTTTGGTGATTAGGGAGATGGAAAAGGAGCTGTCAGGAGAGACAAAGTTGATGATTAAGAGGAAACCAAGAAGAGTATAGAAAACAAATACCTTCTGCTTTAGCTTTGGCACATTTATATTGACTTAATTTACCACTTCTAGATACAAGACTAGATTGATGGGAATTGGCAATTAGAAAAGGTGGAGATGGGCCAGGTGTGGTGGCTCACACCTGTAATCCCAACACTTTGGGAGGCCAAGGCGAGCGGATCATGAAGTCAAGAGGTAGAGACCATCCTGGCCAACATAGTGAAACCCTGTCTCTACTAAAGATACAAAAATTAGCTGGGCGTGGTGGTGTGCGCCTGTGGTTCCAGCTACTTGGGAGGCTGAGGTGGGAGAATCGCTTGAACCTGGGAGGCAGAGGTTGCAGTGAGCCGAGATTGTGCCACTACACTCCAGCTTGGGTGACAGAGCAAGACTCCATCTCAAAAAAAAAAAAAAGAAAAATGGAGACAATGGAGACAACATATCCCTCCCTTCAATATATACAAACTCACCATCTCCCACAGCTTTTGAAGGATGTTATTGGAAGAGGAAGAAATGAAGAATTAGACTAATTAGAAATTACTGGATTTTAGCAGTTTCTTTTTAAACCTGTTTTTTTTTTGGAACGGAGTTTTGCTCTTATT